TAAAGGCAAATGTGGAGTATTAGAATCTCTTATCATCAAGAGGAAAATGTTCCTCCTAAATTCTTATCTATAGATAATCCCAAGGCTAAATAAATCTTGTCAACCGAGAATGCTTTGCCCAGCTGTTCTTTATGTATGCAAACAAAAACATTTAATTTGCATTTGTTTCTGAATTTCTTAAATTAGAAACGTCATTAAGGCATAATGAATGAAAACGCTTACCAGGTTGTATAAATTGTCCGCGTAGTGGTCCAAGTATCTTTCAGGTGTCGTAAATGTGGAAAAATACACCACACACTTTTAAATTTCCAAAGTAACTCACAAAATCATAATGGAACCAGTAATCAAACCATCAGCAATTTACCTTGCTTAAGTCCTGATATATCGGAAAAATCTAATGCACTCACAGCATCTTACATTTCGTTTGAGGACAACTCCACTACTCTGTTGTCAACTGTAAAGATAAACGTCTTTAACATCTCTGGAAATGTATAGGAGGCTCGTGCGCTTCTAGATAACGGCTCATAGATGCCACGTTCCGCTATTTCCGGAGAGTAATTCACTAATTTCCTATCGTGTATTAAATCTTCTAAGGTTGCAAATCACATATTTATATTTCTGGTATACTGACTAATTGGTCTTTACCAAAGCCATCTAATTAAGAAAAATAAATTCTGGTATAAACCAAACAAATTCTATCGTAAGTTGCTGAACATCAGTTAAATTTAAATCCAGAACTTTAACCTTTTCTCAAGTAATTTCTTGCTTAGTTCATCCGAAAATACAAGAAATTTCTGTCACATACGATAAGAAAAACACTAAATATTCCTTCTATCATTACTCTGGCCGGTTCAGACGTCAACATTTCATCTCCTATTGATCTTCTTATCGGTGCAAACATCTTCTGGATTTTATTTGTATTGGTCAGATTAAATTACCTGAACAACCAGTTCTTCAAAAAACCAAACTTGGATGGATTATCTGATTTCAATTATTTTCAAACAATACTATTATATTAAAAAATTTTGGGAAATTAAAGAATGAGAAGAGCTTTCTTGCGAAGGTCACTTCTTTCACATGACCTCTCATTAAATCTTCTAGTAGGTTTATTATATGACTTTCTTTAAAATATTTCGTTCATCTCAAAACTTTGAAAATTAATCGTTGTTCTCTACGTTGCTCCCAAACCAGAATATATACTTTAAAATACAACCCCACGATACCGACCGTTGAACTTTAGAGCTCTGTTGCTCTATTGCTCAGTTAATGGGCAAGATAAAACAACACATGCAATTAGATTTCAAAGAAATTAATTACTGGTGGACTTCAATATTGTTCTAGGATGAATAAAGACTGCTCTCCGAATTTGTTAAAGACGTTTGTGGCAAATAGAGTTTCTCAAATTCAAATTTTGACTGAATCTTACACATGGCCTTACGTGAATACACTTAAAAATCCCGCAGATCTTCTATCAAGGAGAGTTTCTCCTATATCACTAATCAATTCTGAAATGTGGTATCATGGTCCATCATGCCTGTCTAAACCAGAAACTCATTCGCCTAATAAAACATTCGAACCTTCTGAACTCCCTGAACTTCTGATTTCTTCAACTTTTTCTATTTATAAATAATTGTAAATTTTCTCCTAAACAAAGGAACTTCGACAACCTTTCTTGCGACATGATAACGTTGCCTCTAAAAGTAAACTACTTACTCTCAGTCCATTTATCGATAACGATAACATACTACATACATACATACATACATACGCGTTGGTGGAAGACTGCATAATTCTACTTTTGTTACTATAAAAAATATCCTATTGTCCTTGTCCTTGTATATGAGCATCTTACCTTAAATCACTGCTTCTATCCTCTCAGACAATGGTTGTACCTTCGTTGGCGCAAAAAATAAGCTTGTTTTTTTTTTTAATTTTTAGTCCTATTATTAGGGACAATTTAAGTACCGAAGGCATTCTTTTGCAGTTTATTCCGCCACGATCATCCCAAAGTTTGGAAGGACTGAGTAAAATCAGTCAAATTTCACCTAAAGCGAGTCATTGGCAATACAATTCTTTCATATGAAGAATTGTCCACTGTTTTATGTCAAATTGAAGCTTGCCTAACCTCACGACCACTCTCACCAATGCCTAGCGACCCTTTCAGCTTACTTTTCTTACTCCAGCACACTTTTAATTGGATCCATATTGACTGCAATACTTCAATGGAATTTCTTATACAAAAAAAACAGCCTTAGCAGATTCCAAAGGATTCAAAAAGCGGCTAGTTCAATGAAAAAACCTTTTTAACGGTCTTCTCAAAATTGAAAGCCTAGTGACAATAAAGGAAGATGGGACTAAACCCTTAGATGGTGCGTTGGTAGAGTGACTGAATTACATGCAATGGAATAGTTCGTACGTTGAAAATGAAAAATATCAGAGGTTATTTCAAAGGACCAATGACAAAGGTGTGCGTCCTACGACAGATCAGTGACTTAAACCTAAGTAAAACAAATCGTGAAATAAACTTCCATACATACTCTATTACTTGTTGAACCCCTAACGGCGTTCAAGGAAGGCAGCTTAAATGTTAAAACCTTCGAGCATCATCGTATACACTTCTAGTTAGTTATATACGACCTTCGTTCTACATCTCTCGAGAGGGGCTGCAGGTAGTTGCGGACAGAAGAAGCTCCACTCACTCATTCTCATAACATCAACCACCTGAAAAGAACGCTATTTTTAAGTTACTCATTATATAAGTATTTTACATGTATTTTTCTTCAACAATACAGTTTAGTTAAATGATTTTGTTTTTGTATTATTACACAACGTGAAATTCGAATAATATTTAACTAAAATACCTACAATAAATGATTTATTTTTTCCGACAAAGATAACATATCCGCTTTTTTAGAATTACTGCTAGGTGTCCTATTAATTTGTACATTATGATATGGAACATTATCTTATAAAATGGGGATTAACTGTTAATTTAAATATTATTCGTAATTTTTTGCATTCAGGTCATCATGACAATCGCCCGAGTTGGAACCTGATGTAAAAATCATAAGGGCATTCGGTATGAAACCCATTTGCCCACCACCGTGTATAATAAACCAACCTACTTTTGAAATGTTTTTATGCAATTGGCTTACCTTCGTTTCTGTAGTGTTTGTTATTATCTAAATACTTAAGACGTAAGTACTCACGTTATTCCGTTCAATTAATAAACGTCGATTATCTTTCATTTACATCCTAAAGTTTTACAATCCTGTAGAGGGAGTTAACACTCCCAGTCCACTCGTACGACCTTTTCTGCAAAAGTTTCGATGATACGCTACAACCTTCCATCTCATGAAAATGATAAATTGTATTTCTAATGAACTGATTGTCTAGTTCCTCAAGTCTGTCACAATTGCACTTCGCTTAGCAGGTGTAACTGGAAATTTTTATGAATTATTTGAATCTGCGTTTGTTAACTATCAAAACGACGTGAAAAGAATTTGTATATTTATAATACTAATACATACTAATAATTGTATATTACTAATACAAAAAGTATTACAAAACCAGAAAACGAAAAAGAAAATGCATTATATTGAAAAAATTTACAGTAAGTAATAGATGTTGTAATAAATTACAATAGAACTCAAATCGATAGAGATAGGTCAGCGAGAAATCAAAATTAATGAGAATAGAGAGAAGTCTGATGTTTAAATAGTTAAAGGAGGTACTTACTGTTTAATAGAATAAATTTGTTTTCTTTTTATATAAAGCTGAATTCGATATTTAAATAAAGGAAGAAATCAGTAGCGAAGATTATAGATCAATAATGATATTCAGGACCTGGGAATTAACAGATCGCGTGAAAGATTGATACTCTTACATAGTTAGTTTGTAATATTTCTTTCATAGTTTTACCTGGCACTACCTGATTATAATTAGTTATTCTTAAATGATACTCCATTAAATAAGAGGTCATAAATATCTAATTGTTGTAATGTTTTAGCTTTTATGGAGCCCGACCATTTATCCAAGAGATACAGGCGTAGCACCACGACAAGCCGAAAAAAGAGAGAAGCGCCATATACAATATATCCCGAAATTCTGGTAATTGTAGACTATGATGGTTACCGATTGCATGGTGGAGATAATCTGCAAATAAAAAGATACTTTGTGTCATTTTGGAATGGAGTAGACTTAAGATACAAGCTGTTGAAGGGTCCAAAAATTAGGGTATCCATAGCGGGTATTATTATTAGCAGAGTAAGTTTTGCATTGCCGCTATTAAATTTTTTAAAACTAATATATTCTAAATTCATAAATTATCATTATCCATAAATATTTCTGATGAGGGAGTTATTGGGTAATTGTACATAATTTTATATTCATTGTTAAAATTGTATCAAACACGAAACAATTTTGTAGTGGACAATTGAAATATAATAACTACGAGTTTTGTGACTTAAAACACTAAATACAAATTTGAAGTAATCGCATTTAAAATGTCCAATTGGTTTTCGTTGCTAAATTTTTCCATTTTTAAGTATTTCCTACTTCTAAATTATTTTGTGTTATAATGATTTCCGTATTTCTACCTAATTATTCTTCCACATTTGCATTATGGATTTTATTTTATTTTTATCATATTTTATTGCATATAGGGAGCAATTATCTGAACAGTAGCATAAGAAACCACATAAGTTGAATTTTAAGTTATATTATTTCTTTTTATTATTTTACACTACTTTTGAGGGTTGTAATAAAACATGTATGTAAGTATGCCTTTAATTAAGATGCAATCACATGGGCTACAGAAAATAGATCACAGATTTTTCATATTTATATTCTATGTGTTTATAAGTGTCAAAAAATGTAAAGGGTTTCTCTCCTGTTGGAATTATATATATATATATATATATATATATATATATATATATATATATATATATAGTTCAGCTCAACAGGCCTCAAAGGCCCAAGGCTTCAACGGTTTTCTTTCATTTCTTTCTATCTTGTGCTAAGTTTTTCCAATCTTGTACCCGCAGCGACTTCAGATCTTCTTTTGCCGACTCCAGCCATTTTCTTCGGGGGCGGCCTCTTTTTCTTTTCGTACCAGCCTCCGTGTTTATTAATTCATTGGAAACTCTTCCTTCCTCCATTCTTGCTATATGTCCGAGCCATCTTAATCTTTGAATTTTAGCGAGTCTTGTTATTTTTGTTGCCCATATATTTGCATTATTTATTCATTCGTTCTTATTCGCCAGATGTTCTCCTCTTTGACACTTCCGTATATCCTTCTAAGAATTTTTCGTTCCCATCTATATAATTTTACTTCCATATCTTTATTTAGTGTCCAGGTCTCGCTAGCATAGAGTACTGTAGGTCGGATAACTGTTGTATATATTCGTTTTTTGCTGTTCTGGATATTATCTTCGACCTCAGTATCTTAGTCAGGCTCCCAGAACTCTAATATTATACTTTCAGTAATTCCACTGCAAATATCGAAATATATAAAGAACACTATAAAAACAATAAAATAAAAAAAATAATTGCGTATTAAAATATATTATATGTATTAAATGTAACATGTAACATATCTTCTAAGATCTAATAGTAGTTTAAGTTTATTAAAGGTATATTTAAACTTAATTTTAAACATATATCAAAACAATTAAGGGGAATATAGAAAATAAAACCTTATTAGAACCTCTCTAAAGAAAAACCAACATCATCATCAGTTTCGATTCCTATATCTTCAAATAAATGTTTTTTCGTTTTTGGATAGTTTTCCAAAATGGCATTTAGCATATCCATACCTATGCGTCTCCTCTTCTTAGTCTCTTTTAAGTATTTCTCATATTCCTTTAATACTTGACTCTTTTTTTGTGGACAAACCAATTCCTTGCCGCTGTACTGGTTTAGTTTATTTTTAATTTCTTCCGTTTGTTGTTCTATATTTGCCTTTTGGTGCAAAGCAGAACTAAGACTGATTTTTCCTTTAGCGTCCGAAATAAGTTTTGATTTGGTCTTGTATTGCTCAGAGACACCTTTCAGTTTCATGTTTATTTCGTTTATTTCTCGGTCCATTTCTAGAAGCTTTTCTCTGAGATTCGATGCTGATTCCCCCGTTTCTTGAACTATGCAGTATACCTGAAAAGATTATTTATATTAGTTTATTCAAAAAACTATTCAATCACAACTTTATACAATACCGGTATTTTATATAATACCAGTAGATTATCTAGACAGATACATATACATATATATATTCAAAAAATTATTGCCGCCTGAGATCTAATGCCTTACAGTCATGCAAGATATAGTTGACTATTTTAGGTTCTGAATCTTAAGTCTCCATTAAATGGGCCCATTGTATGTAGGTGTTCCTCGGTGTGCTGAAACCTATACCGGTGTGAAACTGTCCTATTCAGTGAGCGTGTCGAGTACTTTTTGGCATTCTCACACCAACCTAGAGTCTAACTTAGGGCTTCAGCGAGCCCCGATTTCCCCTTGACTATCTTATCACCCATTTCATTGCCGAGTGTTCCCGGTGTCCTGGAACCTATACTAGTGTGACACTGTTCTGTTTAGTGAGCGTATAAGTACTTCTTGGCATTCCCACACCAGTCTAGAGTCTAACTTATGGCTTCTGAGAACCCCTATAGCCCCTTAGCTATCTCATATATTGATTCACTTCATTTTTAAAGCACTCATGTTAATTTATGTTTCACAGTTCATGATTGCATAAATATCTGCCTGGAATAGAGATGTATATTTTTCTAGTAAAATAGAAATATTTGAATTTCCCCTACTACTGAATATTCCTTCACCCAAACCTTTTGGAGAAGGGTCCTGAGCCGGATTTTTTTCAGGAAATTTTAGACCGGTCTACGTACCAGATATAACCTGTAGTGTGTGTTTTTCATCGTGTTTGTTCTGTCTCGTTCGTCTGATAAACATATATCACTTGGAAAAGTAATTTAAGTGTGTATTTGGGTAATATATATCATCCATTCGATTGCATGTATGATGTTATTATGTCCTGATCTAACCGTTACATTGCTCAGGTTTTCTCGCAGTCTACAATATTCCATTCTCGACTCTCCCCTTTATAACTATCTGTGGAGGGAGGTCCAGTATATCCTTCATAGTTTATGTTGGTGTGCCTCTCAAAGCCCCTGTGATTCCAATGTAAACAAGTCTTTGCACCTTACTTAGTTTGAGGATGGCCCTTTTTTGTTGCACCTTTGTCCACCACACCACTGATGCATATGTATTTGTTGGTTTTACCACGATGATATAAATCCAATATCCAATATGTCTGACTTTAAACCCCCACATTTTTTCATAAGTACGTCTGGCTACCATTACCTTAGTTATGGCTGTGTTGGTAATTCGTTTTATTCGCTGATTTCGTGTAAGTCTTTAACCCAAGGTACCTTCATTCAATGGATTTAGGTTTGTACCATTTAGGCTAAGAGGACCCAATCCCTCTAAATTCCTCCTTCTGGTAAAGTTCATGATTTTGAACTTCAGGGGACTATTGTTTTGAAGTCTATTCTGTAACTACAGCCAGAGCCCGCTGTATTATATTGTATTGTTTTGTACTATCTTAAACACCGACACGAAAACCTCTTGAATCAGTGTATACTTTATCGTTTCTCTACCTTTAGGATGTCTAAATCATATTCTATAACAAACTGTAGTAACGAAACGTCTTTCATTGGTTTTTTACTGTCTTAAGTCATATGGTGCACAGCCACATCATCACTAACGGTTCCTTCTCCTTATGTACTGTTTGTTCTGGATCATGATATAGAAGGCATGCTGATCCAAAAATTGTCTCTTTTTTTTCCTTTGTGATCTTTATATTCACCTGCAGGACTCTGATTGGAGCCATCGAGGCCTTTGATGATTGTGAAGGATACCTTTCCAAGTCTGTAGTACGCCTTAAAATGAGCAACCCTCAATACTTTGTAGAAGGCCTATGATTTGTGCAACTTCCTCGATCTTCCGATTTTTCAACAACCAATCCGTCGTCTTAGGGTTTTGATTTTGTTTCCATGGACGGGTCCTGATAATTGCTTTATCAAATTCTCTCCCGGGGATGCGGGCGATAGAACGCTTAGGCATATTATTGGGATCAATTACAGTCAAGTTTACTCCCTACTACAGGCTCTCCATAACCTACAAAACAGCAGATTTTTTTGTATATTTTTATGAAACTGTGACTATGGTTACCGGTTACGGTATTGTCCCGAGGTCTCCATTTTCGCTTTTGATTTTCTAAGTTCTCCAACTTTGGTTTTATGTGAATTTTCTGTAGTCCACGTTTCAACAGCAATTTTTTCCTCTGTCCGTGGGATAGAGTTTCTGTTCCATATTTTAATAGTTGACTCAGAGTCTGTTCCTCACAGAACACCTTCTGGTTCAAAATTTGTTAAAAAACTTATTTACACGTTTTCTATATAGAGGTTGAGAACATCCCGCTATATACATATACATACGTAGATATATTTATATATATATATATATAATATATATATATATATATATATTGAAATGATTTCAATAGGTCAAAGAGGATATAACTTAAAGGGATTTTTATATGAGTTTGTTGTTCATGAATTTCATGAAGCCATCACAATGTGGGGTCGACTCTGAAATAAAAGGGAGAAAAGATTAGTAAATTGCTAAATAAATTAATTTTGACTTACCTGGTATAGTGTTAATAATTTCTGAATAGTATAGTTGCCTAGTGTATAGGTGAATCGTCTAAACCTTAAAAGGAATAAAAAAGAAGAATTCTTAAAAAATTTTTAAACATAGAAATTTTAAAAATAAACGTCAGAAAAATAAACTGTCAAAAGTCTGTGGGAACTAAATTAATAGGGGTTTTGTTAAATAAATTACAATGATGTGGAGATGAAAAGAATAAATTATATTAGTATTGTTAAGTTTTATATCTGAATTTTTTTTTTTAAATTCCCAAATTAGATGTGATTAAAGTGCTTATGAGAAATTAATGTGTTTGACAAATATGTCAAAACAGGACAGTTTTATGGTTGAATAAAATAGAAGACGGAATGAAAAAAGAAAGTGGGTTGCTGTTAGCAACGAATAATTTTGGTAGTTGGGGCTAGCTATGGCGGTTAACAAGGAAGAATAGGTTGTTGGAGGCGACGAAAATTTTGGAGGAAGAGCCCTAAAAAGGTGGAATAGTCCGGGAGTGCTTTAAAATCGTTTAATTATAATTTAGTTTTTCCACATTTTCAAATAGAGATATCCAGAATTTGTTCCAGAGAGTAAGAGAAATTTTGACTTATAAATTATAATTGGAGTGCAGAAATGTCATTTAGATTGAAAAAGTAAAAATTCATGAATTAACTAATTGCGATAGGCCTTAAAAATTGAAATATTAATGATCATTAAAATAAAAATATAATAGTACGTACCTTTAACTTCCGAAGAGAGGATAGATATTCCAGTATCACCGATTATTTTGCGAGTAGTTAGTTTTCTTTAAAAAAAAAATCAGAACTGTTTGAAAGTGAGTTTGGATAATAATTTTGGGGATCATTTGAAATTTTGATTATATTTTAATGCTAGTTATAAGTCAGCGGCATAAAGTGTTCAGTTTTCTTTTCTTTATATTTCATTTAAACACTTTATAAAGTTGCAATAGTCATTTAGATTTAAGGTAATTGTAGAGAGTTTTCCACATTTTGTAATCAAATTCTATTTTCACGACACATTAAGGTTTACACGATTCCTATTTTTGTAAATTTTTAAAGGCAACCCAAGTTGCAGACGAATTTTATTGTTTATATTAAATTTGTTCAATATTAATAAATAACGTGCTTCATTTGGGTTAATTTATCAAAAATATAAAGTAAATTTTGGTTTAATTTCTTTTTGAACTCTACCAGGAGACTACAGAGTTGACGTCACACAGTGACAGATTGCTTAGAACAAATAATTGAGCTAGCCGAGGTATAGTATATTAACAACGAACTACATACTTTTAAAATTCACTTCAATTCAATTAAAATTATATTTATTAACAATAAAACATAAAAATAATAAAAACAAAACTATTACAATTGGCGCTAACAACGTGGAGCCTCTGGGAAAACAGAAATAAGGGTGTAATTTTTAAGCAGATTTATTAATAATACACAGATTAAAATAAAAACAAATTGGTGTGATTAGAGTTGTAGAGATTCTGGGGTAGTTAAAGTTAAATTTGAGAATAAATAGAGATTAGCATAAAATGGCAGACCGAATGACTTTAAGAAATGGAAAAGAAATCGTACCGAAAGAGAGTGAAGGAGAACAGGTGTTAGAACAGGAACAGGGTATACAGGTAGATGAAGAAAGCAGAGGAGGATCAGGAGAATTTGTAGTACAATATTTAGAGCAAGGCAGACAAGAAGCAGGACAAGGTGATAGAGAGGGAAGTCTAACAGATAGTTTGAGAGAGGAGTTGGATGAGACAGTGAGAGATAGACGTGATGAAAGTGTGGATGAATGTAGAGTGCAGGAGGAGAGACGTAGGGAAGGAGATGTTGGAGAGTCAGGGATGACACAGATGGATATGAGGCAAATAATGCGGATGTTACAACAGATGGATCATAATATTAGGGGAGATATGCACAAAATGGATAGTAATATTAACAATATTAGGGGGGATATGAACAAAATGGAAAATAATATTAAAGGAGAACTTAGGGAAGAATTAATTAAAATGAGGGAAGAAATCAAAGAAGAAGTGAAGATAGTCAGGGAAGAGATGCTACAAATTACCCAAGGTTTAGAAGAGAAAGTAGAACAGGTCAGAGGAGAAAGTGAGAATTTTAAGAGGAATGTACAGGAGGAGATATCCAGAGAAAAGGCCATAATTAGAGCGGAAATAGGACAGGAAATTGGGAGCAGATTTGTAGAGTTGGGAACAGCCATTAAAGAGAATTTACCAATGGAAATAAACAAAGAAGTTAATAAGCAGAATAAAGAGATTGTTAGGGAGGTAGAAAGTGTTAAAAGGCAAACTCAGGATTATGAGGAAAAAATTACCATTATAAAAAATAATATAAAGAAGGGATTGCAGAATTTGGAACTGGAAATGGGTATGCATGCAAATCAGGCGGAAAAGGGAGATAGAGTATTACAGGGACAAGTTGAGGAATTGAGAGAGAAATTTAAAAATGCAAGTGAGGAGATTCAGCGTTTGGAATCAAATCTAGGACAAACAAGAGTAGTGAGTACTGTGGTGCCGAGTTATAATGATGGGGGAATAAAGTTTGATGGAAACCTGAATCACTTACATCCTAGAATATTTGTAGATATCATCAAAAATAAGGTAAAGAATGTAAGGATCCAATAGAAATGAAATTGAATATTCGAAACATGTTAGTGGGCATGCCATTATTATGGTTTTGCAATAATGAAAATTCCATAAATAATGTGCAGGAATTTGAGGCCAAGTTTATTAACTATTTTGGGGAGAAAACCAACAGGCTAGTTTCAGGGAGCGGTTGTATTTTGGGAAATTCAATTATGAAAAAAGTACCAACTACAATCTGTACGCAATGCAGTTATTCCAGACAGCACAATATTTAGAACCGGCTATGCGAGAAGAGGAGATTGTCCTATACATTGCCAGGCAATATAACCATAACATGGCAGAAACAATAGCTCTCCACAATATAAAGACGATGGAAAGTTTGACAGGATATCTTCAGAGGATTGAGAGGAGTGTAGGGACGCAGAATCGAAATGGACAAGAGCAAGTGACATATAGGAATAACACAGCAAATAGACAGGGATATGTGAATCGAGGGAATAATTATAGGGAAAGAGAATTTGAGAGACAAAATAGAAGCAGGGATTTTACAAATAGGGGAGAGAATTTGAACAATGTCAGGAGAGATATCGGACAATATAACTGGGAACGTAGACAAGGGAATCCAAACAATGATAGAGAGAATAACTGGAGACAAGGGAATGACAGAGGCAATAATTGGAGACAGAACCAGGGAAATTATCCACAGGAGACGAGAAATAGGGAAGTTTACAGAGAAGGGAATCCAAGATATAATAGGGGGGAAAATGAGGAGAGAAGACAGGTGAATGTAGTTAGAACAGAGGAGAATAGGGGGGAAGCAAGTGTTGATGTAGAAGGGAGAAATTTTGTTTAGACCGCTCCTATGTGCATAATATTGTCTACTTATCAAAGTATGAACATCCAAGGGAGTTTATTAGAGATACTGGGGAATTAAATAAAAACAATAACACTAATACTTTAAAGTTTATTGAAGGGTACATACAAGATTCAGTATACAAGTTATTATTATAGATACAGGTTCAGAAGTAACTCTAATCAACAAAAACATTGTAAATAATTTAAATAATGCAATATTATGACACGAATTTGGTATTATAAGATATAAGTTTTGTAAATAGAAGGATAATTAATAAATAAGCATATCTTGAGATAAATTTGATAATTAAATAATTTATTAGGAACAAATGTACAGAATAATGATAAATTTATATAAAAAAAAAAGGTTGATTTATTTTCAAGTAGATTTATAGGAGTTACAAGTATAAATAAATAAGCAAAGTACTATGGACAAATCGATATTTTGTAGAAATTGGGAAATAGGGAATATTATAATGATAAATAGTATATGCGAAAATAAGATGAAAAATAGAATTATATGAAATATTGAAATATGAAATATAGAGAGTTGTATGTAGAGATGATGAAATGAATATTATATGGGGATATAAAAAGAATAAATAATAATGCGGCAATGAATAAAGATACTGAAATAGTATATGCGGAAATAAATAAATAAATAAAAACATAAAATAAAGAGGGGAACAATTATAAGAATTTCTACGAAATTAGTACGAGAAATAAATAGTACAGGAAAAGAAGTAATGAAATTGGGAAAGTACTTGGAAATTTGATTCTGAAGTTGATATAATTAGTGAAAGATTTGTAGATTTTGTTTGGAGAAGTCTGTATTTTTCATAGAGTAAATTATTAAAAAAAAAAATATTCAAGAGATATGCTTATTAATAAAAGTCAGTTTATTGTTATGTTAATATTAATAAAATGTTTAAGTTTATCGGTAAGAATTTAGATTTAGTAAGTGCTGATAGTTAGCACTGAACAAAATCCAAATTGGGGGGAAGTTGAAATGATTTCAATAGGTCAAAGAGGATATAACTTAAAGGGATTTTTATATGAGTTTGTTGTTCATGAATTTCATGAAGCCATCACAATGTGGGGTCGACTCTGAAATAAAAGGGAGAAAAGATTAGTAAATTGCTAAATAAATTAATTTTGACTTACCTGGTATAGTGTTAATAATTTCTGAATAGTATAGTTGCCTAGTGTATAGGTGAATCGTCTAAACCTTAAAAGGAATAAAAAAGAAGAATTCTTAAAAATTTTTAAACATAGAAATTTTAAAAATAAACGTCAGAAAAATAAACTGTCAAAAGTCTGTGGGAACTAAATTAATAGGGGTTTTGTTAAATAAATTACAATGATGTGGAGATGAAAAGAATAAATTATATTAGTATTGTTAAGTTTTATATCTGAATTTTTTTTTTAAATTCCCAAATTAGATGTGATTAAAGTGCTTATGAGAAATTAATGTGGTTTGACAAATATGTCAAAACAGGACAGTTTTATGGTTGAATAAAATAGAAGACGGAATGAAAAAAGAAAGTGGGTTGCTGTTAGCAACGAATAATTTTGGTAGTTGGGGCTAGCTATGGCGGTTAACAAGGAAGAATAGGTTGTTGGAGGCGACGAAAATTTTGGAGGAAGAGCCCTAAAAAGGTGGAATAGTCCGGGAGTGCTTTAAAATCGTTTAATTATAATTTAGTTTTTTCCACATTTTCAAATAGAGATATCCAGAATTTGTTCCAGAGAGTAAGAGAAATTTTGACTTATAAATTATAATTGGAGTGCAGAAATGTCATTTAGATTGAAAAAGTAAAAATTCATGAATTAACTAATTGCGATAGGCCTTAAAAATTGAAATATTAATGATCATTAAAATAAAAATATAATAGTACGTACCTTTAACTTCCGAAGAGAGGATAGATATTCCAGTATCACCGATTATTTTGCGAGTAGTTAGTTTTCTTTAAAAAAAAAATCAGAACTGTTTGAAAGTGAGTTTGGATAATAATTTTGGGGATCATTTGAAATTTTGATTATATTTTAATGCTAGTTATAAGTCAGCGGCATAAAGTGTTCAGTTTTCTTTTCTTTATATTTCATTTAAACACTTTATAAAGTTGCAATAGTCATTTAGATTTAAGGTAATTGTAGAGAGTTTCCACATTTTGTAATCAAATTCTATTTTCACGACACATTAAGGTTTACACGATTCCTATTTTTGTAAATTTTTAAAGGCAACCCAAGTTGCAGACGAATTTTATTGTTTATATTAAATTTGTTCAATATTAATAAATAACGTGCTTCATTTGGGTTAATTTATCAAAAATATAAAGTAAATTTTGGTTTAATTTCTTTTTGAACTCTACCAGGAGACTACAGAGTTGACGTCACACAGTGACAGATTGCTTAGAACAAATAATTGAGCTAGCCGAGGTATAGTATATTAACAACGAACTACATACTTTTAAAATTCACTTCAATTCAATTAAAATTATATTTATTAACAATAAAACATAAAAATAATAAAAACAAAACTATTACAATATATATATATAAAGCATAGAAGCAGATAATTCAAGTCTTACGTAAAATAATACCAAGATAAATAAATAAAATTACGTAGAAGAATACGTATGAAAGAAACAAACAGAAACAAAAATGAAATATTAGAAACTATGAGTGATAAAAAAGACACATAGGAAACTACAAAATGGAAAAGCAAATGGTCACAAATGATTAAAACGAACAACATTTTTAAATGGAAAAAATTGTAATAAATGTAAAACAAACTAATGTCACAAATGATTAAAAAGAAGACCAACATTTTCGAATGGAAAAATTAGTATATTTGTTGAATTGTAATTGTTACCTTTTGCTTTCCATAGGCTTTCTCTTTAACTTGTTCTTTCTTGACCAAAAAATCTAAGGCTTTTTGAATAGCAGATTTTCCAAAATCCCCTTTTACGCCACTCTGGATATCATGTGCAGAAAATGGACGATTGTGTTCTTCTAAGAATTTCAAAACAGATTCGTTGCAAGCCATGACTTATATCTAAAATAAATAAAAAATAGTTACTAATTAATAATATGATTATTATATATATATATATATATATATATATATATATACTATCTTATACTATAAGTTTAATCATTGTTTGAAATATTTAAACGGAAAAATTGTTGGAATGGGATCAATTGCATTACAATTATGTTGCGGTAATGATACCCTCGTCTATAGGCTGAAGTTTGGAAGTCATATTTGGTGACATTTAATAATGGTTAACTTTTGCAATTGAATGTGCAGGACAATTGTCTGTAAACGTCAAAATTTTACATTTTTTTTTTTTCATTGTTATACACAATTCTTTATACAATATCAAAATTTTACATTTTTTTTTTTCATTGTTATACACAATTCTTTCATTAATTTTCCGAAAATATCCGAAGTCATCCATGCTTTTGCTATTATCATGATTTAACTCCTTTTATTGTTTTGAAACTATTTTCATGTAGTTTAATATTATTACCATATTAATTGGGAATTAACCACAATTTCGATTTAAAATGCGTTCATTTAGACGTTTCGATTTCCAAAATAGTAATCATAGCGTCAAAATAAATTAAATCATAGCGTCAAAATAAATAAATTTTCTCAAAATTGTGGTTAATTCCCAATAGAAATAGTAAATAATATTAACTACTTTTAAACAAAGTGGAATTTTTATCTATAAGCAATCTTATCTATGAGCAATAATTTCAATTTTTTTCTGTACTAGTTTTACCACCAAAAGAATTATCAGTTTTATCGTGTCACTAGACAGCGTTTTGAAAACAATTCCATTGCAGGATTTTCAGGAACACAGCTATCCTTCAAAGCTTGAAAATTATCGCAATTAAATTCTTTAGCAAATTGTTTATTTTCTTTATTAAATTTCCCAATATTGGTGTTTGTTGATGCATACTTCAATTCATCGAAACACTTCTTCATTTACATCCTCGTAGGAACAAACCAGTACTCATTTTCTACTGATTAAAACGTTAATAAATTTTTAAATAACATAACCTGTTTTAAGAAAGGAGGGGCAACTAGGTTAAAAACCTAATTTTGAAACGATGTTAATTTTTTTACGGCCGTTATCAACCGCCCCCAAAACGTTTAGTTTTTCAGCTAATTTTAAACACACTTGTTTGGACGTTTTACTTTTTACAGTTTACACCTTTTAATATAAAACTACAGAATACTAAAATGATAAAAAAACAAACAATAAAATGTACCTAAATTTGTGGGGAATTTATTAACAAGGTTTTTCGAAACTTGCCTACAATGATGCCCATTTAATGACAATATAATACGATCTCTTACGGTATTTTTATTTCAAAATTTTGAGAATTTGGGAATAAAACAGAGTTTTTTCGTAGCTAGTGTCAACAGTATCAAGTTGTTATTTAATATGATGATTTTTAGGGAAGAGATGCAACACCATACTTGGAGAGAAATAGAGTTGGTAGAGATGCCATAGATTCAGCAGCAGCTTTAACGGACATGGGAAAATATTTATTTAGAGAACGAAGACTTCCTGTCTACGATGTAGCTGTAGCCATAACAAAGTACGTATACATAGTTAATACAATAAGAGAGCCAAATTCAACTTTTCGATAGGTGGAAAAATTACTAAATGAAATACCTACATCAAATAATAAAATATGTGTTTAAAAACATTTTGAATTGAAAGCATAAGTTTTCTAACTGATTAAAGAAAAAGGCACAAATTGTTTATCTTCTTGAGTTTCTTCTGTTCGTTTTCAGTCCGGCGTTTAACGTCAAACTTCTGGCGTGCTAAAAACACTTAAATATTGCTAAAACGTTTCGGCTTTTTACAATATTCATTAAACACTTTTATAAACATTAGATAGAATTGATGATAGAATTTTGATCTTTTTTTCTGTGAATATTTTTCAATACACATCTTTTTTTGTAGTTTTGTTCTTTTGTCCAAAATCTGTACATTTTCAAAATCAAAAGAATGGCTATTTTCTAGAGAATGCTTGGCTAAGGCTGTTGTGTTTAGTTAATTGGTTTGTACACTATGTTTGTGTGCAACAATGCAGATATTGGTGTGTTTGACCAATATATGTTGAATTGCATACTTTACAATTTATTTTATAACTAACATCCAACTGATAATCTTTAATAAAATTGGGTTTAAATTTTGAAAAATATTTTTTGGATGTTTTTGTTTATGTCCAATATGGCAAAACATGATATTAAAATCGTTATTGGGGCGATAAAATAGCTCAAAATTTCTTCACAACAATCCTTAAGCCTTTATGTCCTCATTATGATTACTGAAAACTCACTTCTAAAGTCCCTAAAATTTCTTTTGTTGCAATGAAAAGCGCATCAAAGTAAAATTTGTAATTTTCATTACTTGCAATAACCTTTGAGCAACAAAACCTTTTTGCAAGTAATCAGTTGTTAGTAAACTATGTTACAACCGAAAAAATAAGAAAAATATAAGCATTCATGCATGTTTCTTTTGCAAATATGTAGAAAAGTAAATAAGCACAATTCTTCATATTTTATTTAAACATCATACACCTAGTTTCAAAAATTATGCATCACCCAAAATTTTCGCAATTATTAATTATTTTTAGAAACTACTGTTATATATCATTTAAAAATATATCATAACGTTGACAGATATTTTTTGTTTTAAAAGAGATACTGTTTTTTACTAATACATAAAAAATTAAAAACTGAGACATTTATTTATAATTAAAATGTATTTAACAATTTTAATATCGTGTCTTTCCAACACACGCATCGATGCAAGCCTGAATTCGGGCCCAATACTGCTAAGTTGATCAATCATTTCCTGTGGCAAGTTCTCCTATCCTTCTCTGCAGACAATTGTACGTTCAAGATGGGTTCTAGCAGGATTCCTTCGGCATGAACAGCTCTGGAGAGCACATCACATACATGTTCAATGGGTTTCATGGCAGGCCACTCCAGACGGCGAATACCTTCTGTCTCAGAATAGTCATTAACTGCTTGAGTCCTATGTGGGCGAGCGTTATGATCCATAAATAGAAAATTTTCACCCACAGCTCCTCGCCATAATCTCACATGAGGTTATAAAATCCGTGTGATGTACCTTTGTCCTGTTAGAGTCCCATCAATAACAACCAATTCCGTACATCCACCTGCCATAATACCTGCCCAAAACATAACGCTCTCACCGGCGAAAAGAAGTATGGGAGGGGCGTGTGCTAGTTGTACAGCTCTTGTTGGTTCCTCCCAAACATCAATTCACCGGCTATCACTATTCAAATAGATTTTGGTCTCGTCTGAAAAAAGTACAAAATTTAAAAGCTGTTAAGGGAAATTATAAGTGTTCTTGAGCTCACTGGAGGTGGTGGCAAAAATATCTAGATTGTAACTAACCAAGGAACTGCAATTGGTCGACAAATCCTCAAAATTAAATCTAGAATTCTTCTTCTTATTGTAGCCAACGATACTCTAACTTCTTTAGCACACCTGAAGTCTCTTTGGATGGCTGATACAGGTAGGTATAGAAGAATTTCTCTGAATGGAAATTCTAATATATCTATTGTGTTGTTCATTGGTAAGCCGGGGTCTACCAGAGCGAGCTCTATTCTGTATCGAATTTGTCTTCAGAAACGTATTTTATATTAAAACATCACTCTGAGAAACACCCACTCATTCTGCCACGAACCGCTGCAAATGTTATTTTTCAACTAAAGCGATAATTCTTGCACGTTCTAACTCAGAAATTAAATTAAATTACGAATCAAATAAAAAACCAAAAAAGGTATATTTTATATGAAAAAGGTCTGTTAAATATGTGATACGGATACGGATTTATGAAAGTGCACAAATCGTAAATACGGGGGGTGATGAATAACTTTTGAAACTATTTGTGTTTCAGATTTTATGTATGTGATTTTCTAACAGTTTTGTAGATAGTGATTCATACTTAGCAAAAATGAAAATATGCAGCTTCTCTACCTTAATTACATATTTTTTACAAGTGTTAAATATTCAGGACGTTAAGAGGAGTCTATATTACAAGTATAAGTTATTATTAATACATTTTTTATTTAGATATGACATGTGTCGGCGTAGGAAAGGTGGACGCTGCACCAAAGGAACAGCGGGTAATTTTCTACCCTAATTTTTTTTATTTATTTATTTATTGATAGCGTGTACATAAGAACAGCTGGGACTACTAACCCGGATCAAAGAGAACCAAGTGGAAGGGTGGTGCCAACGGATGGTGAAATGAAAACTAATAAATGTTATTCTAACAATAAGTTATATTTACAAGAGATACCAGATATTTATAATGACATCTCTGTAATATCTTTGTCACGTATCGATTTGAAGTCATCAGGTACATGCGTATTTGTAAGTAGTTAATAATATTTAAAATACGTCAACAACTGCATGACAGGATTCGTAACTAGGTAAATTATGTTAAATTTTTACTTTATGATCACATACAAAATATCCCATAACTAATGGACCATGCTCTCATCTAGGGTAATAAGAGATTAAAATAGGTCGATTAACACAAGCATCCCTTAGTAAAATGTTTATTGTAAACAAAATAGAGTGCGTTAAAGCTGTGATATTATTATCGAAAATTTGTAATAATTTGTAAACCCCTGAATGAACTCAAAATTCGACGAATATTGTTTTCGAGGACAGCACATAAAAATTTGTATCACCTTTAACTGATTAATAGAGGGCGCTGGTTTTTGAAATAGTGTTAATTTGGTAAAACAACACTTATTTTTTAAATCCTTGTGTTAGCAGCATATAAATGTGAAATGAATAAAAGTCAATATATTTAAACTAGTGTTGCCCAAAAGCAGTCTTGGTCTTGCAGTTTTGATCTTGTTCTTGCGTTTTCGCAAGACCAAGACCGCCTAATTTTAGCAAAACCAAGACGAAGACTGACCGTGCAAGATTTAAACAAGAACAAGACTAAGCCTGCGAGCCTATTCCGTCTTGCAGTTAGGACTGAGTATCGTTTTAGCGAGTATAGTAGTTAGGGTATATGCTTAAAGACTATATAAGATGCAAAAAATATGTAATAAAAATTTGAAAAACTGGACTTGTGCGCATTACGAACAATACCATAAACATACAGTTCTTCCATAAACGTACTTCTTCTTTCGTGTCCGATTATCGAACGTTGGCGATCATATTGGCAATAATAACTTTGTTTACGGTGGCTCTAAATAAATTAGCGGTGGTCTCTTGATACCATTCTCGGAGATTTCGGAGCCAGAGTGTTCTTCGTCGGCCTGTGCCTCTCCTTCCGGCGATCTTACCCTGTATTATGAGGTGTAGACGGTTATACCTCTCTGGATGTCTCATTACATGACCAAAATATTGTAACTTTTGAATTTTTATCGTTTTTGTTATTTGTGTGCTCTTTTTCATTCGATGTAAAACTATTATATATATATATATATATATATATATATATATATATATATATATATATATATATATAAATTCATATAAACATACATACCGAATCAAAATATTGATTAAAAAACACATTTGACACGTGCTTAGAAGTCATAATTACAATGTAAAAATAAAATATTCTTTTCCAGCAGACGACTTCTTCGCTCTGAAGTTAATTGTCCAGATTTTTGGAAACAGCCGTCCTCTAATCATAAAATAATCTTCTTGGATTGCGACACCGACAGTAATATCGTTAAGTTTTTTAAAAATATGTATGTCAGTATATGACCTTAGCTAATAAAAAATATAACACTTATTGTTACGGACACCCACTTAATAATTAAATTTTTTTCCATTATAAATTAGTTAGGAGGAATCTAAATAAACAAATCTTATCGGTCTAAGACTAAACATTGTTTCTGCTGAGTGTGCGATGAGATCATTTGGTTAAACAAAATTTGATGAAAAGGTGCGGCTAATATTAAATAATATAATAATATATTATTTATGGATAATAAAAAGCGACACAAATTAATAACAGATAATGTCGCCTACCATGTAAACAAAATAGCGAAATATTTAGAATAACGAAGTAACGATATATAATGCTCGGTCCGTTAATACATACTTAGGGTATTGGATAGTAACGGACAAAAAGTAACAAGTAAGGTACAAAGATTCAAATAGTTCTAGTCGGAGTAGTGAGCGTTGGAATTATAGATCTAAAAGACCTAAAAGCAAATTTGATGAGTTTTTCGAAATAATTCATGACTCCCAAATTGCTTTGTGTAAATTGTGCCTACATAAAAAGGTTGAAATGAAAATTAAAATCAGAAACACGTCAGGTTTAAGGAAGCATCTAATATATTTTCACAAAAAGGATTTACAAATAATATTTCTTCCCGAAAAATCAAAATTCGGTGAAGATACCACAAGCTTTTTAATAACCGCTGGAAAAAGTGTACATGTAAAAAAATATACTTATTATCTTATTACCAATTACATTCATATTATGTACCTACTACTTTATTTCGGTAAATTAATGTATTTATTAAGTAGATATATCGTTAATTTAAAATAACTTCTTTTGATTATCATTGCTTTT